GTGTGTTGGCTGGGGGATTGAGAGGTGGTGGTGCTGGTTGTCATAGGTGGGGAAATCAGATGCTGCTCTTATTGCTTGGGAAGAATTGGATTCTCAGGTTTGCTGTTTCTGTGAAATAAGGGAAAGGGGCTGTTTCCCAGTATGCTACTGTGGGAAAGGGTGTAGATGTGTGCTGAGGGGGAAGTGAAATTACAGCAGGTCTTGGCCCCCTTCTAAGTCCAGGGCTGTATGCAGCCATCTGCCTAGGGCAGTTCCCACTACCACTGGGGCACTCCACGACCCCTGTTTGAGGGGAAAGCTTACATTTCAGCTGAGTGCCGTTTCCATGGAGAAATCTAGTGCTGTCAGTTCAAATTTTACCAATTCTCTGTATCTTGAAATAAGAGGTTCTAATAATAAGTGTTTTTAAAACAAATTCCTTACCAAGAGTGCAGACCCACTTGCACATGTGAAGGCTACCACAAGTCTATGGCAGACACAAGAGGAAGATTGCATTTTGCTTGGAAAGTGACGGATACAATTAAACACCTCTTTACGTGGAAAGCACTTTTAGCTTTTTACTGGCTATTTGTCAGACACTGAAAACGTTTCAGAGTAAGCAGGAGTGCCGTGTTGGGAGATGTTTCATTGCAGAGACATTTCCAGAACACCAGCACGGTTGACGAAGTTGTAATGTGTGTACGCGTTTCCTTTTCTCCTCTTCATTTATGGTGTATTAGCACACTGGCCCGTCTTGTACGCTGCAGTGGGTTTTCTAGAACTCTGTTGCGTCTGCATTTTGAGTCCAGGCCCGTGTGATATCTTCACTTGAAATAGGCTTTATTCTTTCACTTCGCTGTCCAAAATAGGCATTTGCTGAAATGACTGCTTTTACTCAAATCCAAGACAAGTCCCCCCCCCCCATTCAATGTGTGTGGGGGAGCCCCTCATCTTAGATTTGAGTACAAGGTGTAGGGAGGGCTGCAGCTCTGACTCTGGCCTGGGGTCTGGAGTCAGAGCTGTAGCTACTGCCCCCCACCACTTGTCTCCGGCAGCCTCTGCTCCCTCCCCCTCTACCCCCCAAGCCCACACTGTTGCCACTTATCTTCCCATTGCAGCTCCTGTTCTGGCTAGGGCACTGCTCTGGCCTGGAGAGCAGGACACATGCTAACTTTGGCCCCTGCTCAGCCATGCACAGTGGTAACTCTGGGGCTGGGGCATCCGCTGCTGCAACTGCTGTTGTGCGTCTAGGTGGGAGCTAGGCAAGTGGCAGGGGCAGAGGTGCCAGGTGGTAAAAGTGGAGTGGGGCAATAGGCAGCAGGGGGATAAGTGGGGGAGGAAAAGTGGCAAAGGGCAGGTGTCAGGGTACTTGCCTCCCCGCTGCCTGCCCCATTGCCGCTGCTTGCCTTGCTGTAGTGGTAGTGGGGACGGCTTACTTAGGATGACCCTTCAATAATTAGATTCTGTGGATGGAAAATTATAACAAATTTGATATATTTTCCATGTTTATAATGTAATTATTGGGGGAGTCCTTTTAAATTTGAAGTTGGTTTGGTTTTGGTTAAATACAGTAGGAATGATCTGACCGTGCATACATATAGGGACCTACCTAAATGGCGAGAGACAGGGATTTTTGCAGGCCACTCACAGCGTGTGGAGCCAGTTTAGCGTTTTTTTTCATGGCAAGCCCCCCACCTCCCTTGCAGCTGATTTGCCAAGGGGTGCCGGTAACCCCATCCCTTGCTGCTGATTGGCTGAGAGGCCAATCACTCATCTTCAGGCTGCAGCATTGCATCTGGCTTCTTAAACCCTTTCTCGTTAACGATTGGCGCCTTCACTGAGTCTGTGTCACTAGGTTGTCCTCGAAGTAGCTCTCTCGCAAACCACGTGCTCTGTGGCTGCAGGGATTGCTGTGCTTTCTTTGTACTCCAGTTAGCTTTTATTTTTGGGGGGCGATTTGGTCCAAAATGATGGGAAACGCCAGTTTTTGCCGTGATTGCGGAAACTGCCTTCAAAATCACGAAACCATGATATTTAATGAGTCCTTATATATACACTGTGTGATATCTTCTTTAATTACATGGTAACATATTCTTTTTTTTTCCCCAAGCTTCCCAGCTTCTTCACTCTTAACTGCATCCTCTACCCTTACCTCGTACTTCCATGGATGAACTTTGCCTCCCTGTACCAGTGCTGGTAGCTTGTTTCTGTCCACCCAGTTTCTTTGTCCCTGGTAGCAGTAGGCATCTTTCTGTCTTGCGAGACAATAACATTATGCCGGTTGAGGCCTCAGTTCACTGAACATAATCCTTGCTTGAAAGATATAGTGAAGCTGGAGTGACCTCTCCAGGGCACACAAGCCTGGGCAGTGTATATGGAGCTTTGCAGTCATAGCGAGTAGCTCCATCTTCCTCCCTCCTTGTTCCCCAAGGGAAATTATTGAGAGCACAAGAGAATAGGTGGTAGTGACTTATATCATCTCATAAATGACTTTAGAACAAAGGCAAGGAAATACTTTTTCACACGGGGTATGTTCAGCTCTGGGAGTCCATTGTCAGCCGTATTCCAACTGTAGTCTGGAATTTCCTGTTATAGGAGGTCACTGAATCAACTATTGTTGCCATATTTAAAGGGATAGTGCTGACATAAAAATCGTACCCGTTTCTAAAATAATTTTATCTGCTTAACCTTCGAAAGAAATTACGAGGGGACTTTTATTTATGGTTTTATTCTGTGTATTCAATGGCATTTTGAGTGTATTCATTCTGTTTCTTCCCTTGTTCGGTTTTTTTCTAAGCACTCTAAGTGATCCCATTTCTATGATCTTCTAATTTGAGCACATAATAACTGAAATCTTTGCCTTTGATGCTTGTAATTTAGTCATAATGCTTGTGAAGAGTTAAAAACCTTTCAGTTGCTAAGTTTGAGATTAGTAGCATTCAGGTTTTCTAAGTCGTATCTTTTTTCACACTACAATTTCTTTCCCATCCCAGTTCTTAAAACTGCCACTTTCTCATTCTTAAAAACTTAATACAGTGGCCATATGAAATGAGTTATGATTCTGTAATGGAAACTACACCAAAAGTCCCCATTTCTAAATTATCTGTACATTGAGAAATCCTTGCACATGATCTATTGTCAGTTTTATAGATTCTTCCCTCTGTGACAGAGACTCCGTTTGTTTTGTGTATTCTAGTTTTTGGGTCCGAAATACTTCTGAATATTTTTGGCTAAATCCTTGTTGACCTCTAAATTTGATCCTATTCCACCCTACTGGAGTCCTTGAAAAACTGTTTGCGTGTCAACTTTTTTAGCATGTCTGTATGTTGGTCTAGGACAGGGGTGGGCAAAATGCAGCCCGCCAGGCCATTCTATCCAGCTCACGGGGCCCGTAAAAAAATTACAAAATTTAATATTGATCTGCCCCTGGTTGCCTGTCATGCAGCCCTTGATGGCTTGCCAAAACTCAGTAAGCGGCCCTCCGCCCAAAATAATTGCCTGCCCCTGGTCTAGGAGAACTCACTCCTCTTTTGTGTCATTGGTTTTCCAGGGACTTGAGCAGAAGTGGAATAGGGATCACACTTAAGTGTCTTCAAGTTGAAACAGGATTTGGGCCTTCATGCTTGGAAATAACACTGCCTCTGCATATTTGCAATATCATTTCTTTGTTTTCCTCTTTCCTTATTATTATGAAATTAAACACATCTGCCCTCATAGAATAGCTGTCTTAAGATTTCATCTGTTCCTTCTTGTGTTTATTCCTCAGCTGAAGTTGCCTTCTTTGGTGACATTGCAGTTCCCATGGCCATTCATCTTGAGGTCACAAAACTGCTCAGGTCATATATTAAAGAATAGGGAGCAAAAACAGATATACTTGGACAAAACAGTTGCCCTTGTTCTCATGCTGAATTTTTTTGTAATAAAGAACGAGATGGGAAATGCATAAAATATAGGAGCAGAACTGTTTCTGAGTAGAGTTTTGGTAGCATATTTCCCCCAAAAAACACTTGTAGCCCTTTGAAGGATAAGGGTTTTTTTTGAGTGGTGTTTGAGTAACATTTCCAGTAGTTTGATTTTTTTTGTGTTGGAGTATGTGCCTCTTCATCTTCTGTTGTTGATTTAATATGATGGGTGTTGCAGCGCCTTTGACTTTCTTCATTCTTGCCTACAATGCCATGTGAGATGAGAGTTTGTAAGTAGTTGTGCTAGAGATCTGCACGGTTAAAACGAAATGGTGTCAAGGGATACAAAATACTACCATTTTAAACTTATGGTTGACATTTTAGCTTGCTAAGTAATGAGCAGAAGTCAGTACCATATGTGACCAGTTGTGTATCAGCACATATCTATTGGACAGATATCCACATCATAATTGCCATCTCATATTTGGCATCTGTATCAAAAGGCTCAACAGAGGTTAGGGGCTGAATGACACACAGGAACTGAATGATTCCTAGACTATTTCTCCAGATCAACACTGGGGCACGTTGGAGTGACAATGTGGAAAAAATGTTTGCTGGTGCTTTTAATGTAGTTTTGTGGATAAACAGAGAATCTGAATTGGCTAACAAAAGTCACAGGAGTCCTTTTGTAGGAGATAGTTTAATAAATTGTTACACTTAGCAATTATATAGCACTTCACATCTCCAAAGGACTTCACAAATGTTAATTACCAGTGAGGCTGGGATTCATATTTCCATTTTATGGTGGAGAAACTACAGCGCCAAGAAAGTGAATGACTTGAACCTGGTCATGTGGAACATCACTGGGAACATTTGGAAGAGAATTTGGGATTTTGTGTTCAATTCACCAGACTGCCTCCACATCTGCCCCCACAGAATTTATTACCGCTGTATGAAATTACCCTATCAGTCACATTAATTGAGCCAGAAGTGAGTGACAGAAAATCTTCCTTTCAGTATAATCAAAGCAGCAAGCTTCAGATAAAAACAACAACATAAACAGAACTGGAGTTTTGGCATCTGCTTTTCTAATGTCATTTTTTGTTTGTTGCATTGTAGAAAGGGGAAATGGAGACTGGGCCACATGAAAGGGAAAACATCATCAAAAAGTAAGTCAAAGCTGTACCATTTCCTATGACATAAAATAGCTGTTTATATAGCAAAGAAGGGGTGTGTACAGCCATTACATTTAGACTGACCTAACTAGGGTGATGTTGATTGAAATGCCCATCTGTGCAGACATTAAGAAGGCTTTAAATTGCCCCTAAAATGGTGGATCTGATCTAAGTTACTTCACCTGCGGAGGTGAACTAGTTTATATCTGGAACAGATCAAGCGGATCTAGAGAGCGCCTGTATACATTCAGAAGACAGCCCTAGGGCTGGGCAAGCCCACCCATTCGTCCCAGCCCTGGGGCTGTGCTTGTCCTACCTCTTGCCCCCCCCAACCCTGACTGGGCTGTTTTTAGCCCCCTGACTCTCCCACCTCAGATCAACAGTCCCCCCACCCCCCCAGACCTGCCAGCCAGGTCGGATCCTGCCAGTCCCCACCACCCCTTCACCTGCCACTCACCCTCCCTGCAGACCCACTAGCCAATAGGTGCCAACTTGGTTTTTGCCAGGGGGTGCTTTTTGGGTTTTTTATCGGTCACGATGGAACCCCACGTACGCCCAAAAGAGGTAGTATAGTACTTCAACCTAGCTCACCCGACGTGGCTCATGGGTCCTGAGTACCCACTAACTTTTCTCGGTGGGTGCTTGAGCCGTAGATTACCCACGGAGTCAGTGCCTATGCACTAGCCGCACACCCTGGTGCTGGCTGCCCCTCCCTCCACCTTGACTTGTTTCTACCAGTTTCCCCACGCAGCTCCTGGGAGCAGCTAACATTTGTCCGCGTGACTCACGGTCTTTGTTCGCGTGATTTAAAGCAAGCCGTGTGCGAACGTAGACTGGGTGCAGCGAATGGCTGTACGCACCCAAGGCTAATATTTTTCATGTGCATTTCACTGGGTATGTGGGGAATAGCAGCTACAGTTTCTGAGTTGTATTGGATCATATGGTTTTGGGTCATGTTCGGTGTTAGTGTTAGGGCAGACCCACTCCCCCTTGAAGGTGTCATTTGTGCAGCTTACGTCCATATTCTACGGAGGAGAGAGCTGCCACTGAGGATATTATTTTTCCCACTGTCATCTGCCACAGCAGAATGCAACTTCTTTGATGGATTTCATTCCACTGTACCCATGCATAAAATGACTCAGAGTGCCTTATGGTTGTATGTCACTGAAGGTCCCTTGTTGAATGGATTTACAATGTAGAATATGTTGAATGTTTTTCCTTTAGCCTAATAGTCCTTCTGTTTTGATGTAGAAACATGAAGATGTTTTTCATTTGTGGTGGCAAGCCTTACAGTTGGTCTTCATTTATATGATTCATTTGCATTAGTCATTATCCAGTAATAGACATTTGTTTTAAACTGTCCGTCTTGAATAGTTGTTACTTGATAGTGTAAAAACATGCTATAATCTGATGAAGAGTTATGATTGTAGTTAAAAAAAAAAAAATCCACATGTACTCATTTGAATGTAGTTTCAGATCAGCTAGAAACTGGACTTATTAAAAGATTGGATGAGGTTTAGTGTATTGCTGAGTCAATTTTAAAATGCCTTTACCTTATCAGGATACAGCTCATTTTACTTTAACTGTAATGGAATGACTGTGTTTCTAACGCATGGGTTTTGAAATGATTGATGATCGCAGCATGTCAAACGGCTTTTGGGTGTTGTACCAAATGTATATTCTTTCTATTTATTAATATGAAAAACATCCTAGTGAATACTGAGTTTTTAAATCTCTGAAAAATTAAATAATAATTTTACAGAATTAGTCTTTCACTGAAAAGGATGTTTTCAGTCATTAAATTGAGCCAAGCACCTGCAATTCCTCTAACATTACACATTCTACACTAATTTAATACTTTGGGAAGGTGCAGTGTTTGACAAGGTACTATTTCAAAGATGTGACTCACTTATCAATGTGACTCAGAGGAGCCTTGCTGTATAATTAATTAAACGATTCAGCAGGTTGTGTAACCTAGATCCTTGTAGTATCCCTAGACTGACATGAGAGATCATATAAATCAAAGATAGAAAAGTAGTTGGCCAGTGTGGAAATTCTTTCATTTGGTTGGTCCAGTCTAACTTTAAAATGCCAAGCAACAAAATCTCCTGTTCTTCTCCTGGCCGACCACCGTTGTCTAATATATTTGACAGACTCACTTTTTTTCCATTGGTATTTAGCATAAATGTTCCCTTTAACAGTCCATTATTTCTAGATATACCTTCTAGTGCCATCCTAAACTACATTAAATGAATCCCCTTGCTGTTTCGTATTTTTACCCTTCATATAGCTGAAAATTATGTCCCTGTTAAGGCATAGCCTAGCAAACCTTTATACATTTTTGGCCATGTAAATTAGCCAACAGGAGCTCTGTGCTGCTGTGGCTCAACTGCAACTGATACCCAACCCAGCTTGTCTAAGGTAGCTTATGTACCTCATCTACAGTCACCTCATACTAGGAGAGAGAGACCACAAACCCTAGCAGCAGTTGCGGACTTTTTCCTTTACCTTTTCTACTCGGCTCCTTCTTCCTGCTTAATTAATGTAGCTATAGAGCTTAGCAGGATCCCTCCTTGGTTATACACTGTTGCATTCGGTTGTAGATTCTAGTCCTGTTCCTAAAAAGTTAGGCCAGGCCCATGGTACATGTTCATTTAATGTCACAATGGGATCTGATCCTTGATCCCAACAATCACGCCTCCTGCCACGCCACATGTTCATGTCAGGACACTCAATTTTGGGATCAGGGATCAGATCCCAGTTGTGTCATTATTACTTGTCAGTGCAGGGGGATCCTAGGACCACGATCCTGGACTCCCCCCACACTGCTAAGTTGAAAGCTGGGTGTGTGCAGCCCAGCATGAACTGCTGGAGGCCTGGGACTGAGAATGACAATCAGTGATTGTTGATTACAGCCTGTGGTGGGGACCCTGTCACACGTTCAGTTTAAGGTGATCTGGAAAGTAGCCACAAAAATATTATACCTGTTTTGTGGGATAACTTTGTGACTGGTTTCCTGTTTTGCTATACCATTAATTGCCTGAACCTGTGGCCAGGTTACTGTTTAAAATGTGGTTAACACGTTAATCGCATTTTAAATGTAACTTTTGCCAGGGTCCTTAGTTGACAGACATCCTCCCCTTACGTGGATTGATCATTGAGTTCCTTAATATATTAGTTTGAGAAAATTTCCTTCCTTTCTGGGACTGTTCTGCCGAGAATGGAAATGCTTGCAGTATCCATGTACCAGCAGCAACATAAGCATTAAAGGCTTTTACAGTGTCAGGCCATTGCAGACATGAATGTCCAGTAACCAGGATAAACAGGGTACCAAAGGCGTAGTATGTTATTGCCATAACGGATCACTGGGTGTCTAGACAGTCTTGTTACAGGATGGAGTACTGCATCCCTTTGTTGGGCAGCTTCAACTTCCTGCAGAGGATGGGCTGGTCATGACTCTGGAACTGTTGGAAAAGAACAGCTCGTGGCTTTGTGTCAGGCATTGATTTGAAAAATAAAATGTCACGTGAAGTCAAAGCTCCAAAAATGTGCTTACTAGTGGAAATATGCATAGTCTTTTAAAATGCCTTGTCACATGGAGGTCACCGTGTGATTTATTGTGTCAGGCAGGCTTCTTCACGAGCACCATGAGTGATGTAGCCAGTGAGGTGACTTTCAACACTGTCTGTAATATCCTGCTGGGTTTTGGGGATGGGCATGTTGGACATGGCTTCAACCTTTACACAAAGGGATTATACCCTCTCACACCCTATTCGTTGCCCTTATTAGTGCCACATTTTTCCACTTGGCATATCCCTGGGTTTATCATCAGAGTAATCTTGGAGACTGCAGGCCCATTGCTAATTTCTAGAGACGCGTCGGCCAGTCCTGACTGTAATTACAACCTCATCTAAATAGGCTGCTGCATAGTAATGGTAAGGTTGTAACACCTCATCCATCAGTCTTTGAAAGGTGGCTGGAGCCCTTGTAACCCAAGTGTCTTTGTGTAGAAGTGGAAAAAACCTGTTTGGGTAGCAAAGACTGATGATTTGTTCACAGGAGTCAGGGAAGTTTGCCAAGAACTGGCAATGAGCTGAAGTGGGAGATGGCATTGACCTACCTGAAACCTTTATACGGTCAGAGGCCCCGCAAGCTTTGGTATAAGAATCACTGGGCTACACTTGGGGCTTTAGGTTCCTTGATCACTCTGGGTCTTGGACTTGTCCGTCTCTCTGAGTTAGTATCATCTTCATTGCTTTAAGACTTGACAGGACTTCTAAATAGGTTTGGTCCCTAGTTCACTGTGAATGTAGGGCTCCACCAGTGGGCTCTGCCCTGGTATTGGGAGAACGTATCCTCATAGGATTTCAGGAGGTTAGCCATTTGCCCTCGCTCTGCACTGATTACCTTCTGTCCCTCTATAACTTTAGGCTTTGGAGATCTGGGTTCACAGCGCTTTTTATCTTCCTTGAGGTGAATAAATAAGATAGTACCTCCTGGTACCTCCAGGTGATCTGCAGTTTTCTGTGGGATGTGAAATTAGTTCCCTAGTTTGTAGCAACCTGGGAGAATACTTAAAATTGTTACTCTTTGACTACTGAAGCTGTGGTATTTTATATGGAAACAATTTTGGAATGCAGGTATCATAGTCTACGAGCATTAAGAGTAATTTGTGTCCTCTCCAAGTGGGGTGCAGTGGGGAATAAAGCAATTTTATCAGGGCTCGGTCCCAGTTGTTGTGGCTGCTAGGCTGCTTTTCTTTTACTGGGTATGAAACAAAAGTGAACAAAGGGCACTTCTGCATGTGCTCTGGGTGTGGGGAGGGCGGTGCTTCAATTCAAGTGGCTCCAAGAGCTGCTTTAAATAAAGCGCTGCTGCGCTTATAAATGGTGGCAGGAGCTCTTGAACTAAAGTTTGTTCAATGGGCTTTAGTTCAAGTGCCCCCGCTGCCATTTTTAAGATCTGGGACACTGATGCACGAGATGCAGGAGCCC